TTTAAATTGGTTAAAAGTAACAACAGTTGCATCTCTCAAGCAGTAAAAAGTTCTGTCACCTAAAAAAATGATATCTCTGAAATGAGAAAAACCAAACTCTATACACTGAGTAGTAGTACACTCTTGAAGATAGATTTCTAAAAACTGACAATCTTTATCAGCCCATAAAATTTCATATACCTGCTCTTGCTTATCAGTGTCATGACAATAAGGCACTTACACCAGAGGTCATCTTTGGTCTTTTTAAATTATTATTATTCATGAGAGACAGAGAGAGAGAGAGAGAGAGAGAGAGAGAGGCAGAGACACAGGCAGAGGGAGAAGCAGGCTCTACACAGGGAGCCTGATGTGGGACTTGATCCCGGGACCCCAGGATCATGCCCTGAGCCAAAGGTAGGCGCTAAACCACTGAGCCACCCAGGGATCCTCCATCTTTTGTCTGAAGGACCCTTATGCTAACATAATTTTTATTGAAGTAGTATAAGAAATACTAGTTTTAAGGAATGATGGTATACATTTCATGCAAAAAAAAAGGGTTTGGTGTCAATTAAAATTGACATTGGCAAAGAAAATTTTCCCAATGAAAATTTGTATATTAGAAGTTTTATACACTTACCATTATGTCATACCTGTGAAATTTTATTAAAACAAGATTTTCCAAACCCATGAGAGCATTTTCCCTATATATATAGGCACCTATTAATAGCACAGGAATAATAATATTCCCCAGAACAATGGTTTAGAGTATCTGTACTATGTCATGAATCATATTTTAGATCATCAGTAAACCTTCAATAAATCCTACAAAAAATAAGATATTTTTAATGATAAATACTATGAATGCTTATGAGAAGTATAAATATAGTAAAGAACAAATGGAAATATAAGTCACATGTAATCCCATCATGTAGAAGTCACCGCTTTTAAGAATGTGTCATTTTTATATACATTAGTAAGTACTTTCATTTTTATAAAAAAGGAATCATACTGCATGTTATTTTCTACAGCCTTTTTCATTAGACATATTATAAACATATTTCTAGGCCATTAAGTATTCTAAAACAATTTTTAATGGCTTCATGATATTCTACTTACAAATGTACCATAATTTTACCAATAGGCACTTAAGTTAGTTTCAGTTTTTCACTATCCTCAATTCTGTCATGGATAGCCTCATTGTTATATCTTGGGTACATCTATAATTATTTATTTAGGATAAATTTCTAATCCAAACACAGTAGATTAAAGAGTATGCAAAACTCTAGTGCTTTTGACCTCTATGTGTTTGGCTTTCAACCTCATTTGGGTCCTCCAAGCTACAGACCTGTATTATTATGTCTGCATTTTATTAGCAGCTCTCTTTCCAGTTTTTTGTTTTTGTTTTTTTTTTTTGTTGTTGTTGTTTTTAGATCTTATTTATTTATTCGAGAGAGAGAAACAGAGAGAGAGGCAGAGACACAGGCAGAAGGAGAAGCAGGCTCCACGCAGAGAGCCCGACATGGGACTCGATCCTGGGTCTCTAGGATCACACTCTGCTGAAGGCGGCACTAAACCGCTGAGCCATCTGAGCTCCCCCCTCTTTACAGTTTTTGAAGATATTTATAATCATGACTACTCTCTTCAAACCTTCGACTATCTTCAATCTCAGCCCGCTGACTACATTCTTCTTTGGAGAGAAAATGGAACACACCAGCAAAGAATTTTCTTAACTTCCCTACCTAAAATAATTCTACTTACTTACTTGCATCACTTTCAGTTCTTTTTCACTTTCCTCAAATTAAAATATAAATATTTGTCCCACATATTGGATTCCATTCTTTTGGGTTTTTCCCAAAAGACCCAGATATTTGCTCAATTACCTGTTCTCTATTCTACATTACCAGCCTCTCCTTCCCTACTATTATTCCCCAACATACTCTCCCTGTGCCCCCCCCAAAAAAACAAAATTCAACACCACAGTCCACCCCAACTACTACCTTATACTTCTCTTCCCTCCACAGTCAAGCTTCTTCAAAATGTTATCTCTACTTACAGTCTTCATTTCTTCACCTCCACTTAGAGGTCATTACACCACAAATGTGATTCACCTCCATTGCTTATACTTCTTTTGCTGAGGTCATGTTTTCACTGATGATTCTAAAGGAATCTTGTCATTTGGTCCTTTTCTTTATTTTCTCTGCAACACTTAACACCCTTGATTACTCCCTCTTTGAAACATTCACTTTCATTTTTTCATGAAAGCATACTCTTCTATTTTTCCTCCTACCTTTCAGACTTGCTGATCAACTTTCACTTGACAGCTTCTTTTACTCTACAAATGCTTTAAAGTTAGCTATTTCTCAAGTACTGAAGCAGGCTCTTTTCTCTTATCTTCTCCTTATTTTTTCATTTTATTTCTCTCCCATATAACAAACTTTTTCTAAACTATATTACTCATATTCACTAGTTTGAGTATCATCAATCTCATCTTTATCCCGGGTTACAGTATAAATTACTGATTATTTTCAAGTACCAGCTATAACTTTACAAATTATTTAAGCTCTCTCAACCTTAATTTTCCCATCTGTAAAGTGGGAATAAGAACTGTATATCTGCCATGGGTCACACTCTAAAGCATCAGTCAGATAATTTAAATATTTTAGCATGGTACCTGGCCAAAAGCAAGTGCTTAATAGTACCCTTTATTTCAAATCTCAAGTGTATTTAAAAGCATTTTGGATAGAAACATTGCAAAATTCAGGTAGTTAGCAGAAAGAAAGTCAAGGTGAATAACAAAATTAAGACCAAAATAACAGATTGATGTTTACACAAAAGACTATGTTAATTCAGGTGGCACTAGCTGAACCTAAATTTTTTAATGGCTTAACAAAATGGAATTTCATTTTTCATTCACTTAAAATATAATAGGTAAGGCAGAGGTTTTGCCCACTCATTCATTTATTCAGGGGCTCTAACTGATGAAGATTTGACATGCACATCGTTTGCCCACCAGGATTTTGCAGCTGGTATTCTCAGATATTTTGCCACTGTATATCTTGGGTCTCAATCTTTCTAGCCTCTGATACAAATTTTCTTTTTTTTTTTTTTTTATACAAATTTTCTTGCCATCCATTGACTTCTTACTAAGCCAAGATATATGTTTTGTTGTTGTTGCTATTATAGCTCTTACTCACTTCTAATGGTAATTTATGTATTAGTTCTAGTAACACAAACTGCCTAAGAGATAAATGCTAAAATTTCAGTGGCTTAACAGTTTCCATATAAAATTAATGTTACTTGTATAGTATCTTTCTCAATTTCTTAATAAACCATAAATCAAGAAACATCATTGGTTCATTGTAGGTAATTAGTAACCAGCAGTAATGACTTAGGTGAAGTTATTTACCTTTCTCTTGTATGAGATTGTGTATCTTCAAAATAGGGAGCATGGTCACGGAATGAATGCTCTCTAAGATCCTTCCATCCAACTCTATAATTTGATTAATTTAACTTCATATCTTGTTAAATGTAACTATCACAGAAACCAACAGAATAAGAAAAATGTATGTGCTTAGGATCAATAAATGTAGCTTAACAAGCATCCTTCAGGCCGTCTGTGGTGGGCAGTCTCTAAAATGTCCCCATTGATCTCACTTGTTAGTATTCATATCGTTGTGTAATCCCCTCATATCCTTGTGTGATCCCCACTAAGAAAGACACAGTGACTTTCTCCTAACAAACAATATGGAAAAAATGAAACGAGATCACTTCTGAGATTAGTTTACCAAACGACTAAGACTCCATTTTCTCTCTCTCTCCCTCTTTCCTTCTCTCCTTTGCTTTTTGTGCTTGCCTACGATCCTTTTATCAAGTGGAGGCGGGGAATGACCATCCTGTAAGGGTCCTATGGAAAGGCACTAATGGTAAAGAAGCGATATCCTCCAGTCAACATTCAGCAAGGACCTGAGTCCTGCCAATAGTCATTTGAGTAAGGTTGGAGGAAGGTCTACCCCACTCAAGCCTTGGGATGACCTTAAGCTGTGGTTAATACTATTATTGTATCCCAATGACAGAGTGTGAGACAGATGACCTGGAGAGCCTGAGCCCGGATTCCTGACCCACAGGAACTGTGAGATAACAAATATGTGTTGTTTTTAGTCTCTCTGTTTTGGGGTAATTTGTTTACAGCAATAGATAAGTAATGAAAGAGTAAGGGCATCATTCTTTCAAGAACTGGGATTCTGATGTAGACTAACTCACTAGTGGAAAAAGAAGCAGCAAAACAGGTTTACTTGGATTTCTTCTTCCACTTTCCATTTGGCTAGGTTCAGTTCCTGCCCCTCACCTCCAAAAGCACAGAACTACTAAATCAGGCATTTTCCTTTCTTTTATTTTGCCCTTTTAGTTTATAGAATATTCAAATTGTGCTTTGCTATCCATTTACCCCTCTCCATGATGATACATCTAATATGTCCTAAGGGATTATTTTTTCCACTAACTTTCAAAACTACTTTTTAATAATATTGCTATTTTATTAGTAAAATTCAGATAGTTCACAGAAAAATTAGAAAATACAGATAGGTAAGAAAGGAATATAAAAATCATCTGTAATCATATAAACCTGAGATCTATCATGAGCATTTTATAATTTCTTAGGTACTCTGATTATAAACAATTTAGGAATAATAGCAGATAGAGAGAGTGCGCTTTCTATTGTCAACTATTTTTCTAAGCCCCTCATATATATTAACTTTTTAAATTTTCACAAGGACCTTCTATTATTGCCCCCGTGTTACAGAGAAGCAAACTGAGGCCCAATATACCTACGTTCAGAAACATCCTTTTTTTCACTGAGCAAAACGATCTAAAAGTTACCACTTTGAAACTTCTTAATACACCATTTTTTGGAAACTTCTTAACACATCATTACGCATATTTCATGTGATTACTTTTTAACAAAAGCCTTCTAATTGCACACTTTGTCACACTCATAGGTTTGGATAAATGATGAAAGAATAGTAGAAAGTCTGACAAATCTTTAATCACTGCTTTTAAAACACATACACATTTCTTTCATCTCTGCATAAAGTTGGTCCAGAGGTCAGCATTTCTTAGAAGTTACCCTGGGTCCAGCTGCTGAAGAAGAGCACAGATCTGTGTTAACGTCCCATGCTGTGTGATCAGGATGAAAGGGCCACTCTGAGGTATATACTGACTCCTTCCTCCAGCACCTGAGGTTACATCTCCTCACGCTTTATGAGATCTGGAAAACACATGGACATAATGTCTTTATTAAGTTCAGAGAATAACAGAGAAGCCAGAAGGTGATTTAAAACCTAGGACATAGCATATTAGGAACTCTGGTATTCATCTCAACTGCCAGATTCAAGAATTAGTGAAATGTCAAATCAAGCAGCATTTTATAATAACTGTGACATCTGTGCATCGAGTGAAAGTTGCCAAATACATTTACTACACTGTATTCTGTACCTTGAGATAAAACATTAAATACATATGATACATGTAACACTTTGTGATTATAAGATCTTTGCCACCTTGGTTTCTGGGCAATGCAAGAAAAAGTTCACTTTTTATTACCTATAAATATAAATAAATATATAGAATATATTGAATTAAATAATCATTCAAATATGAAATAATACATAAAATATTGCTATACAATACTATATATTATATATGTAACTCTACATTACTATAGTTTGGCCATTACGGCTATTTTTTAAAATTTAACCTTCATAAAACAGAAACTTGTCTGTCTTATACACCAATGTATCCCCTAGCTGGGTGTCATTGAATAAATACATTCATAAATACATTCATTCATTTAATAAGTACATATGACTACATACTACTAAGAAGTAAGTAAGCTATAGAGAAGCTAAGTAACTTATTCAGGTTCGCATAACAGCATACATGTGTTTTAATTCAAGATTATTCCTATAATAATCCACTATCACCACCACCACCACCAAGAAAGGGAAAAAAGGTCACAGTGACAGTCTGTGCTCTGAAACTCATACAAGTTCCTGGTCTACCCCAGAAGTGTGCCACTAGGAAACATTTCAGTCACAAAATTTGAATCACTGTCAAGATCCATATCTCTGTCTGCTTATATTACAGTTATTTTTGTCTCCAGCATAGACTATAACTCCATAAAGAAGACTTCATGTCTTATTCATATCTGTTACTATGTAGCTAGGATAGTGCTTGTTTATAGTAGAGACCCCTAAGGTTCTGATGAATTGAACTGGAGAAGGACAATGTGTTAGTGGCACAGCTAATTTGTAGAGAGGAAATGTCCTTTTGACTGGCTAAGACAGAAAATAAATATATACATACAAACATTTATATATGTACATGCATGCAGGCTGACCTAATCTATCAACAACATAGCATCAAATTCCAAACTGAACTAAAGGGCTGTAAAGCAATGTTTCTTTCTAACTTTTTTGAGAGATAAAAGAATTTAAAATGAAACCAGATTATCCAACAACAAAAGAAATACCTGCTGTGTGTTAAAGCTGGCAGTGATGGGCATGAATCTCAAAGTAGACATAGATTCTATGTTGTAAAAGGCATCTTGAAAGGAAAATAGTAGAGAAAAAGGCACCCAACTAAAATATGGGAAGAGATAACGGCAACAGCCCAGACAAGGGGTTAGCATTAATATAACACACACCAGTACCTTCTGCTAGACTTCCTTAATACCATTAACATGCATATGTGTGTATATTATACGTGTGTACATACAGGTGTGTGTGCATACAGATACATAGCAACAGACAGATGGACAGAGAGGTTAACATTCAGAATCAGGGCTATCTGGCCAAGGGTAACAAGACCTCCTACATAGATCTGGCATTCAAAAGGAGGTGTCCAATCTGGGGAAAAGACAGGCTGTAGAAAAACTTTGTCAAAATAAAGAAGTGCTCCATTCCTAGAGGAAATAAGATATGAACACATGTTGTCAAGCACAAAGGAGTCAATCAGTTGTCCCAGCTACTCCAAGTTGCATACAAAGCAAGACAGGAATTATTAACTGAAACAAGAAAACAAGGCAGAACCAGATCTGATGCAAAACTGATGAAATGCTTGATTTTTTCTTGTTTCTTTCTATCTCTTTCAGTCTCTTTCCCATCTTTTTCTTTTTTTCACTTTCCTTCAAAAAGAAAGGGAGGTTTCTTACAAATTAAGGTCACACATGACAAAACCGTAACATCGTTTAAACAATGACAACAGACAAGTAATGATGGGAACAATAATCATCCCAGACAACGAAGTCTGGGGAAACTACTGCTATTGTGCACAAAACCAAATGCTTATCTTTCAGGCATTCAAAGCAAAAAGGAAATATAATAGGATACATCACACTCAATAGCTAATAAGGTAGAAAACCAAATTATCAGGAAAGAGATATTTCCCTAGCTCTGAAATCTGAGAAGAAACATTGCATGGGTCTACATTGGGATGTCTTTGAATCACACAGATAGTATTGTAATAAGTTCTTTCAGGAGGACAAAAAAGGAAGCTATAAAGAAACTTTGGATCAGTAATGAATTCATAGAAATAAGAGAAAAAAAGCAGCAATGCAAGTGAAGATGAGACTTATAAGACTTATAAGGCAGAAATAAATAATCACAAAAGGTAAAGAAGCACAAAGAATATAAAAGTAGTAGAATCATTTTCACAATTGACCTGGACATACATGACAAAACACAGGTGTAAAAATGATATAAAATTCCATGGACCAATATCTGTCGCTGTAAATGTCTACATTTTCCCTAGCAATGTATTCATTATTTTCATACAGGTCTCCCTGACAGATCATTATGATTCAAAATTCTTATTTAATGTAGTGGCTACTGAATTAAAATCTAAGCTACTTGATAAAAATTCATTGTTATCTTTCAATATCGTGCCTTAAAAGCTTGCTCCATTCCTAAATATCATATTACTTTGTAGAGTTGATCTTTTGTTCATGTGAAGAAAAAAATGTAAGTTTTGGAATTAGGCTTAGGACTGAATTTCACTTTTAACTTATTGGCTGTTTGACCTTGAGCCAATTAGTCAGCCATGGCCTTTTTAAATTTATAATATGAAGGAAATAATTCCTATATCTCTAAGTTGTTGTTATTATTGAGATCATGTCCCCAGCAAGTTTCTAGGCAAGTATTAGATGCACAAATAATGGGTCTATCTTCTGCTATGCTTTGAAACAGTTGAGACTCCATATTTTGAACAGGTAAGTGAAATACATAGATGTCAAGTAGTAAAAAAAAAAAAAAAGATAAGAATTTTCTAAATATTGATATAATGAAAACAACCTTAAGAACATCACCGGGCAGCCCGGGTGGCTTAGGGCAGCCCGGGTGGCTCAGGGGTTTAGTGCCGCCTTCAGCCCAGGGTGTGATCCTGGAGACCTGGGATCGAGTCCCACATCGGGCTCCCTGCATGGAGCCTGCTTTTTCCCTCTGCCTGTGTCTCTGCCTCTCTCTCTCTCTCTGTGTCTTTCTCTCTCTGTCTCTCATGAATAAATAAATAAAATCTTTAAAAAAAGAGAACATCACTCTATGTCTACAGTTTTTAAATTTTTTCACACTCAACAGTTCATTCATTGAATACCTATTTAGTATGAAAAACACCATGCTGGGTGTATTAGTAAAATAAATTGCATATGCTTCCCTAACACTCTAAAGGAGGACAGACATATATAACTAAATATTGAGTATTAGTCAACTTCTAAGGCAAACACGTGAGACTGCTGAAAGTAGAGCAAATGGGAAATTTCATGGTAGTTCCAGAAATGGTAAGGAAATAACCATGAAAATTCTTCAGTAGCTGTAAATTTAAATATTCTGCATATTAATAAATGCACGCAGCACTGAAATGATTTTTGCCTCCCATGAAATAACATTTCCTTTCAAAACGGTTTTAGTGGTCACAAAGAAATTCATAAGTACCAAGATTCTTCAGTACAAAATAAGCAATATTTATACCCCTGCAAGTTTAACTTCTGTTTTCCCAAATCAAATTGAAGATCTGATCTCTCTTTTTCTAATAAATACAAATCAAATTTAGTCATTCTCTTATCCTTGCTCTACCACCTGAGACCCACCAGTTTTTATAGAGGGCTTTTTTTTTTTTTCATTAAAACAAATCTCTGTAATACGGCAACCACACTAGTTTAGTTTTATACGATTATTTTAAGCGTCTTCCTGACTTATTTTGTTATTTAGAAGATATTTCAATATTATGGTTTATTTCAAGGTACTAGCAAAATTTTTTCTTATAATTGTTTAAGAAAGGTTTTTTTAAGTTCAAAAAAATGTTTCTCATAATATTTGTAATAACTTCCTGACAGAGCATAGAACTTTACAGTGCACCAAGAAGGGATACAGAGGAGTGATTTCTGCAGCTCACTTACCCTATGCTTTCCATGTTTCCCAGGAGTTGTGGAAGGTTGGCGTCCTATGGTCAGTTCACAGATTGGTTGGCCTCTTAAAGAATTACTCTTGGAGTTTTAAGTATTGAAGTGGAAATATCAGTATATTCTAGGTTAAGCCACACAAACCTATTTCACTAAGGGAATGGAAAACTAATTCTAATGGAAAATCAAAACGATATTTTTAGCTACTTGTATATTCAGCAAATATTTATTGAGCATTGCTATAGCCAGGCCCTGTTTCATTTGCTGGGGAACTATCAATGACTAAAACAGACAAAAGTCCTCATTATCCGAGAGTCTACATTCTGATGGGGAAACAGTTATAAACCCAGGGCCATGTTATCCATTACAATAGTACTGAAGGCCCACAATCCTTCAAGGGGCCCACAAAAATGTTTTAATTTTAATTTATTTTAAAACCAGAAAAAAGTGACTATTATAATAATGCATCCATCCTGGATTATATTTTTTCTTTATAGCAAAGCAGCCATAAAATATAATTTTAAATATATTTTTTTTTTATGGAGGAAGGGGCCCATTAGGGCAAAAGTGGCTTGAGAACACTGAAGTCATACTTCATACAGTCATACAGTCAAACTGCATACAGTTTACTGTAATAAACACAATGAATAAGTAAATCACATGGTATATTAGAAGGTGAGAAGTTCTGTGGAGGATAAAAAGGGAAGTGATAGTGTGGGATAAGGCTGTATGTAATCTTAAATCGAGCATTAGAGAAAGCATCAATGAGAAGGAACATTTATGCACAAATTAGAAGTAGGTTAGGTAAAGAGCCA